ATTCAATAAACATAAATGATAAGAAAATGAAGGGATGATTGGACTATACATGGGGTTGCCGGATGGGAAGCTGGTTAATTGGGTTTAAACGGATTTGAGCTTTGGTCGTAATCTACACATGTGAATTAGATTTAATATCAATTTTACTTGTAAATCATCATTTTGTCATCTCTAGGAATATGCTTAGGCCGATCACACGTGGGTAGGCAAACTTTTAGGCGCGTAAATGAATCATCGTGACTATTGGTACGGTTCCCGTGGCATAGTCGCAATACGTAATCTCCAAGTCGAGTGTGCATTTCATGTGACCCGATCATAACTTCGAACAATAATAAAATACACGTGTTGTAGATTGTAGGTACGGTTCCCGTGACACGATTTGCAACATGTACAAAAACAAACAAGTGTACGACAATCGTAACTTGTTCCAGAAATAACTCCATAAATAATTAAAAGCGGTTAAAAAACTACAAATGCACTATAAGAGTAAAACATGTCATTAATCAGATGATTAGGCTAATTAATAATAGTTGAGCGACCGTGCTAAAACCACGAAACCCGGGAATGCCTAACACCTTCTCCCGGGTTAACAAAATTCCTTACTCGGATTTATGTGTTTCGCGGACTGTAAAACAGAGTCAAACTTTCTCGATTCGGGATTTTAAACCGGTGACTTGGGACACCATTAATTATTCCAAGTGACGACTCTGAATTTGAATATAAATAATCCCGTTTCGATTATTGTCACTTTAATTAGAAAAACTCTCTTATATCCCTTTTGGGTAAAAAGGAGGTGTGATACTCCCTAAAGTATGACAATGAAAGACTAGCTGAGGAAATAAGGAAGAAGACTTCAACCTAAGCAGAGTGACCTAAAGAGGAAATGGTCTTGTAACAAGAGTCTCACTACAACATTGTATGCACTCCATAAGAAAGTGGAACCTACCGTGGCTAATAAACGGGAAGTAAAATCAAAAGTAATATTCGAGATCATATGAGCTGCACGAAAATTCCAGCATGCGTGGGAACAAAGATAAGCCATGTATGCACGCAACAAAGTGGCAGAACGACCAGGAAAAGCAATTGCTTGCAATTTAAAGAAAGTTGAGAAGGAACGAAAGGAATTATTCGAGCAATGATCCGGATGATAATTACGTTATGAACTCACTTAAGAGTTTGGAGTTTTATACATACAACATATATGTTGACAGTCATACAGACATGGAAGACTCCGGTATAAGTTAAAAGAAAGAATTGAGCCCAGGGCATAGACAAAGGATCGAGTTGTTAGAAGATTGTATCATGGATATTCCCTAACGCCTATGAAAGGCTAAGGTAATGACTAATACAAGGAGCAGCGGATCGGAAGATAGCTTAAGCCTACATAAAAGCTGATCAGAAGGAAGAGGAAACTAAAGAGTTACACCAGGAGTCTGATTATTGGACCCGAAAAATTCTAGCCCTCATGATTGAGAACATTATAGGATCACTCTTAAATATCAGAGGTACAAGAGAGATGGTACAGTAGCCATATTCTATAAGGGCATCGGAATAATACCAGCCTCATAAGAAGTCAGTATGAAGCTCTCACCGGATTATGTATACACCAGAGGTGCAAGTATTATAACAAAGCTTCAAGTTATGGATGTGAATTACACCTATGTGGAAGGAAGATCATGAAAGAGATACAAGATGTGATGCAAGATTTTAAGGTAAGTAAGGTAAAGGTGAAAAAGATACGAGATACTCAAGTACAAAAGGTTGTGCATAGTCAATACTTCAGATAATCGATACTTCAGATATAGTTTGGGTTTTAGTTTAGTTTACAGAGGAGACGCTAGTAAATTTTTTTTGTAAATCTCTAAGAGTTAACATTCGAGGACGAATGTTCTAAAGGGGGGAAGGATGTTACACCCCGTAAGTTTAACCACCTTTATACCATTATATATATATATATATATATATATATATATATATATATATATATATATATATATGATATGATATGATATTTTGGGTGGAACAAAAAAAAGTGGCTTGAAAAATATGATTTTATATTTTTATTAATATTACTACTTTCAAATATGTTTTAAATTATACTCATAATATGAGAAATTTTATGAGATTTTCTTCATTCAAGATACAAATTATTTTCTCACAGGAAAAGAAGGTTACCTTTTTACCATTTTAAGAATTAAGCGTACGAAAATTTTACTCTTTATATGAGATTAGAAAATTATAAGTTGAGAAAATATATATATTTTTACATGGATATTTTAAGAAAATAATAATGTATGTATTAATTTTATATGATACCACATGACCATGTTAGTGAGACGTATAATTTAAATTCCCCAACAAGGGGATTACGTGACAGCTCTCCCATGCCAAGAGGGTGACTCTTGAATTGAATGGAAAGGTGGCAAGACTAGGACTGTCGACTATACTAGTTGAGATCTCCAGAGAACTAATGAGTTCACCAGATAATTTTGGATAGCTATTTTTTTTTCACTTATTAGAAATGCTTTTGTGAGCAGTGCCTCAAAGTTAATAAGGGACAATTCTTCAACGTTAAAAGACCTCATCTTCCTTTCCAGCCAATTTGCATAAAAAAGCAAGGACATTAGTGCAGTGGTACTATACTGTTTTGAGAGGCTTCCCCTGTAGTACCAAGTCAAAATTCATTAGCCAATGTCGGAAAAAGGTTGTCTGTGATGGAATTGGTGTGGTACTGACTAAAGTTGGTTGCGCAATTTCTCGGGTGTTTGCCACGTTCCACTGCTATCGTTGCCGTGTTAGGTTTCGTCAGTGTTCCGGATCACTTTCTTCCGAGAATTTGTACTTGCATCGAGCTTTTCATACGACTTGTTCCGTGTTTTGTCGCAATTAACGTATGTTAGAGAGATTGTCAAGAGAATCGGCTCAGGTATGTTAAGGCTATCCCTTCTTTCTTTTGGCATGATCCGTACGATACAAACGAAACGAGCAAATGCACAACTTCCATAAATTACTCTATTCATAGAAATATCAGAGGTGCCTATGTTCTTGAATTTTCATGTATCCTATTATTTTATCATCTGTTCATGGGTCTCAGAAAAATATGTAAGTTGAAAAAAGTTTATTTCATGATATTAACCAGAGGCATAATGGTCTTATGACGTACCAAGAGATTTTATTAACGTATTTCATATGCATTTCATGCATTTATACATGCACATCATGATCAGATGGCGTTATATACGCGTATATATATGTATATGGGATATGGGAAAGTTTATGGCGTTATATACGCACCACCACCTAATCAGCTGGTATACATTGATGATTTGCCCACAGTGGCCGAGATGATATGATCGGATGCCCTCAGAGGCTTGATGATGTTATGAACACATGTACCTATGCACGCACTACAAGAAATTGAGGATACGACGACATTTATTTAGTGACTATTGAAATAAATGTCGGAAAAAAAGAATTTTTTGACATTTATGACAAAATATCGTAAAAACTACGACATTTGATATAAATTGTCGTAGAAACAATGATATTTGATACTAAATGTTGTAAAAAAATGACATTTGATATAAAATATCATAAAAACAACGACATTTGATATGAAATGTCACCAGAACAATGACATTTTTGAAGAAATGTCGTAAAAAGTACGACATTTGCTACAAAATATCGTAAAAACTAGACATTTGATATAAAATGTCGAAAAAAATAACATTTGGTACAAAATGTCATAAAAACAACGACATTTGATAAAAAAATGTAGTAAAAATACAACACTTATATCAAATGCTATAAAAACATTTTGATACAAATGACAAAAAAAAAAAATATGACCATAATTTAAATGTCATATTATTTGTCGGTAATTACGAACATTTACATCTACTATTGAAAATTTCTCTAATTTTTTGANTCCGATCTATGAGTATTTCATTATTTACAAAGTTATTTAGACTTACATGTCGAGTCCTTTACTCCATGTTTCTCTCATGTCTATTATTTACTGATTTTCATTCCTTACATACTTGGTACACTATTTGTAGTGACGTCCCTTTTGCTTGGGACGCTGCGTTTCATGCCCGCAGGTCCCGATAGACAAGTCGAGAGTCCTCCAAGTAGCTATCAGCTTAGCGGAAGATATTGGTGCACTCCATTTGCTCCGGAGTTGCTTGTTTGGTCAGTATGATTTTGACGCGTATTGTTTGGTATGGCAGGGTCCTGTCCCGACCTTTATGTTAATTGTGTACTCCTAGAGGCTTGTAGACAGATGTCATGTATATGAATGCTTGTATGGCCTTGCCGGCCTATGTTTTGAGTTTACAAATGATCATGTTGNTTTTTTTCTTAGTTTTTTATCTCCCAAAATTATTATGAGACTTTTATTATTTTACTATTTAAAAGTAATTTTATATTTATTTATGAAGGAGTAATATTTTGAATTATAATATTGATAAAGTTTATTGATTATTTACATTTAGGAAGGTAATTAAATTTGTAGTTTGATAATAATATATAACTTTTAGCCTTATAGGGAAGTAATCAAATGTGTGTTTTGATAATAATTTTAACACTATTGCATTATTCATACTTGTAAAACGGTTAGATTCTTTGGTCCTTTATGAGTTTGTTTAATCCTTTGATTTTTAAAACTTTTAATATACTTCCTATCCTTTTATTTTCTTTTCGATTTCTTAAACTAAAAAATATAAAAATTTATGAAGCTTACACCTCACCTGATATTAAATAAAATTCTCATATCTATCATGCATGCCTCGCGTTTTAAAATATGGTTCCTATTTAAAACTTTTTATTAAAATATTAATGTTTAGTATAAATATGCATATTATTATTACTAATACTTACTAGATGTTGGATTTATTTAAACATGAACTATTTAAAATAAAAATATTTATAGGACCAAGAAACCCACACAATTGACCATAAGTTAAAAACATAATAGAAAACCAATTGACAGTAAGTTAAAATAGAACCCCACGTACTCCAAGCCTTAGAAAACTATCGAATCCTATCTCAATCAAAATCGGATCTGGCTCATAATTTCAAATTGGGTTTGGCCATATTTTCTACAAGGAGCTATGTATGGAGAGTATTGGAGATTTAGAAGGAATCGATTTTGGTGGTAAGATTTTTGCTTCCCTCCTCCCAATTCTAAAAAAATACAGTTTCCTTCCTTAGTTAGAATTCTTCAAAAAACCTATTTTTTTACATTCGGCTGTGCTATCATAGATACTTGGAGACGAAAATCTCTGAGGCTTTTGCTGCTGAGATTCACAAAGGTTATTTCCTACAAATTCAAGGTACCCACTTTAGTTAACAGATATCTTTCTTTTTCTTAGTTGTTCGGATTTGGGTTAACAAATTTCTTTATTTTTCTTAATTATTCAGATTTGAATTAACAATATTCTCTTTTAGGTATTGATTGGTAGATTGATTTTGATTTTTTTGGTATGTTTCTGGGTGTTTGTTGTTTAATACATTTATAAAGTTAGATATAAGATTTTCATTATTTAGCGGTAGATTGATTTTGATTTTTTTGGTGTATTTTTGGGTCTTTATTAAAAGTTTGCAGTGTTGCAATATGTTGATTTAGTTATTTGCTTGTCTTTTTCTGTGCTCTAGCATTCATATGAAATCAAATCTTAAGTTGTATAATAGACTCGGGTATGATTTGGTAAATGTGCCTCCTCTGTGTATGTTGGTCAAATGTTGCAGGGAGAAGCAAGCTAATTTTTTTGACTTATATTTGTGCCTGCAAAAGTGTCTTCAACTGCTTGATTTAAGTGCTGATTTTAGGAAGTTCCTGAATATTTCTTAGCTACTCTAGTCCTAAATATTTCTCAGCTACAAATATGAAATGTAATTTAGTATTTGGCCAACATTACTTGTATATGTTAGAAGCATCTATTCTAGCTAGCTGCTTACAATAAGCTAGAGCTCTTTTGATCTAAGTACATTGTCCATCCAGATTCACATCCACTACTACATTCAGAAGCTGATATATTCATACTTAAAAAAGTAAAAATGCAGCCTTAATTATAGGCTAAGTACACTTGGTGTTTCTTGAAAGTAGAGGAAAAAAATATAAAGGTTTGGTTTTTAATAGAGAAAGGAGTAGTAAAGATTAATATGGGTTGGATTCTGTTTATTGGTTCTGTATTTATAAGTGGGAGGGAAGAGAAGAAGAGTAAGGTATATAAAACCAAACTTAGCACACTCAATAGTAGACTAGCTTTGTCCTTTGCTTTATCCTTTGGCCTTATTTTTTTTCTCAATTTTGTGAAGGATCAAAACTTGCTAGTTGGCTTAGTCATGGGGTAGGGCAGAGAGAGAGAAATGAGTTTTTGGCCACTTGCAATTGATATTTGGTACAACATGGTGATTGCAAGAAAATCATATGTTCAACAATATTTGTGCAACAGCCAGCCAGCAAATGCCAACCATTCCCCTTGTTTCATATTGTGCTTATTATTACTACCAATTACTACACTCTTTACTCGGGGCAAACGGGCAAGTTGGATCAGATATGTGCGGGTCGAAAATGGGTAGTGAAAAAACGGATAAATTATCCGACCCTTATTTTTAAAAAGTTCATTATTCAACCTATTTTTTAGTGGATAATATGAATGGACTTTTTTTTTTAATCTATTTTACCACCACTAATCTTTACTTTCTTTTTGGAGTTGTTGTAGTTGAATTTTTACAACATCCATGTCAATAGTGGACATCTATTGGATTGTGGCGACAGAGTGAACTAGTTTGTAAGATTCTCTTGAAAAAAATAAAGAAACTAGATATATTTTTTTCCATGCTCTGAGTGAATACATTTGTATAGTCATTAGTAAAGTGTACAAATTATAATATATATTTGTATTCTGTGATATGCTCTTTTTAGTTTCTATCTATAAGTACTCTTTTTTAGTTGATTTTTTTGCTATATGTATAGGTTATTCTTAATGGATAAGAGTTGGATAAATATATTGAATAGGAATGATCCTCTATATGAGAATGGAGCCAAAAAGTTTCTTCATTTTGCCTCATTAGATAGGCCTAATGCATCTGAAATCTTGTGTCCATGTCGGAAGTGTCGTAATATGAAATTTATCCTGAAAGAGTTGATTGTTGAACATATTGTGGTTGATGGATTTCTATCTAGTTACGTTAATTGGATTTTTCATGGTGAGACATCATCTTCATCGATGTCCGTGGATAGATTAGATATAGGTGATGAAATAAAAAGCTTGGGCATGATGCTTTTGGAGTTCCTCCTACTAGTGACTTTATTAATATGGACACTCGTGGTGATAGCTTTGGTGGGTCAAATCAACATAATGTGGGATTGAAAAAAAAACTGAAAAGTTTTTTAACTTATTGAAAGAAGCTGAGCATGAATTATATCCTGGAAGCAAATGTTCACTTCTTTCTTTTCTTGTTCGTCTAATACATTTAAAGTGTCTCAATGGGTGGAGTAACAATTCATTTTCCATGTTGTTAGAGTTGTTAAAAGATGTGTTTCCTGAAGGTGAAATATTACCTAAGTCCTTTAATGATGCAAAAAAAATTATTAAAGATTTAGGACTCGAGTACAAAAAAATACATGCGTGTCCAAATGATTGTATGATCTATTGGAGTGAGACAAAAGTTCGAACTGATTGTAAGTTTTGCAAAGCTCCAAGATACAAACAATTTGTAGGTGAATCTGGTAGTTTGGAAACCTCAAAAATTCCGGCAAAGGTGTTTAGATACTTCCNCACTTTACATCTGAGCGAAAATACTGTTCAAAATCCGGAAAAATACGCCCGCAAATTTTACAGGAGTTCCAGCAAGTATAATTGTCCAGTATAATATACTGGAGTTTGGAGCACTGGTGCTCCAGTCTCCCGCAAATTTTACATGAGTTAGCAAAGTATACCGGTCCAGCATAATATGCTGGAGTTCGTACACAAATGCACCAGAACTCCCGTATATTATACTGGACCGGTCCCTGTTGCAGCAAAATAGTGGCTATTTTTCATTGACTTGATAAACGCTGGCTATTTTTCATTGACCAGTGTGAAAACTGGCTATACCATGATATTTTACGAAAAAATAGCCCTAATTATAAATATTGTCATCAAATAGTCAATAAATGTATATCACAAAAATAATGTATATATAACAACTTTTTCTTCCTCCTTGTGTATATCAACATGTATATTAAAATTTTATTTTCCTTCTTTGTATATCTAAAATATGAAATCATATACAGTTATTTAACAGTTATTGTTGCCTTTGTATCAATGCATATCACAATAAAAATAATTATACTATTTATATATCGCGGTGTATAACACATCGAATGTATATCAAAAATTTATTTTCTTTCTTTGTATATCAAAACTTTATTACTCCTATAATTTTATTTATTATTTTTATTTTCAAAACTTGCTCAAAACCTGTTATATCAAAAAATTGTTTTTCTTTTTTGATCCATAAAAAATTGTAGTAAATTTATTCAGAATTTATTATACTCCCTTAAAATTAGTTAGGGCGATTTGATTCCGATTTTACCTTTTATTGCCTTATCTAACAATGTATATCACGATATATAATGTGAGATACACACGGGTATACATGATGATATACATAGATATACACCACCTCAAACACACATATTTTCTTTTTATCAATTAAAAAATGAACAGGGAAAAAGAAAAGGAAGAAAATTGGAGTCTGCCAAAGAGATATAAATCACATCGAACAAAGTAACAACCGGATGAAGGCAAGAAGAAAACTAGATAAAACACAAATCTTTTTACAGAATTGGCGTCATGGTGAGAAGATCTAAACTTCGTAGAAAGATGTATTTAACCATTACAACTTCCCAAATATCAAAGAACACACGCCCTTTCAGATCCAGATTGAAGAAGAAGAAAAAAGAAAAGACTGAAGAAGAAAATTGGAGAAAAAATACGGGGAGAGAGAAGAAAAAATACGGGAAGAGAGAACAAATAAGAAACTAGGGTTATTTGGATTTGGCTATATAATGTCAATTTTTTGGGATTACCTTTGCCAACCCTAATATAAGGCTAAAATATTGTCAATTTTCTTTACGTATTGTCATACCATGCCATTTTCTCTTGCTGATTAAACATATGAGCATCTTCTTTAATTGGACTGTGCAGTAAAGTTGTCTAAGGGGAGGGTAATGGTTCGTAAGGGTTAAGGGTATAGGGATGGTAAAGGTAAGGGGAGCATTCCTTAAGGGATACCTTTCTTAAGGGGATTTAAAAGTACGGGGTAAGGGTACTTTTACTGGTACCTACCAGTACCCCTACCGGTCCTAAGGGTGCGGTACCGATACTTAGGTGTAATTTTAAATTAAAAATAAAAAAATTATAATTAAATACAAACAAACTTTAATGGATGAAAAAGATTCAATACTTTTTTCAATACTCATTAAAATAAAATTACAATTTATGAAATTTTTTAATAACTTCTATTGGTTCTTCGTTTGAAATTGATAGCACCTGTCCTTTTGCGGCCCTGTTGTCTCCGATAGATAGTATTTCACTATAGTCATCGTCGTCTTCTTGAATTATTTTTGGAATGCCAAAGTTTCTTCTCTTCCAAAATTTCAGCAAGTCTTCATTTCCTTCATTATTGCAAATATTATTTCTAACAGTTGTTCTAGGAAAACTTAAAAATCAGAATTATACATTTCTTGTATGTAACGCCTAAACCCGGACCGGTTAGGATTTGTTTCAAAACATGGATTCCTCTCCTTAGCATTACCCTTTGTCAATCTATTACCCTTTTTACCAATTTAAGAGCTATTTTTAATAATAAATAATTAAAATTACAACAAATAGCAACACAAGTATAACAAAAATAAATACGAAAATTAATATGAGTTCTAGAACGTTAATTGCAATTAGAGATAGAGAGAGATAGAGAACTAGAGAGATATGAGAGTTTTAAGTGAAAATTA